GCGCCGACGGCAGCTCACCGCTACGACTCGAGCCGCATAGGAAATCCTGACAGAGCATACACCCCGCACCGTGCAGAATGCGAGAACAGGCACAAAGCGCGCGGCTGACTAGGCGAACAAAAACAAGAACAAATTAAAGAATTAAAAAATGGTGGCGGCGCGGCAGGAAGCGCTCAACTGGGCGGCGCGGCGTGACTGCGCTGAAAATTGAGGAGAGCGATGAGCGTCCGAGGCTCTGCTGAAACTCGCTCGAGACAGCCGACGGAAGCAACTCTCAGGCGCATAGCTCGAAGAGCGGGCAGCGAGCGGCCGGGAAAACAAAATAGAAAGACAAATGCAGTAAGAGGATTCGCAAGAACAAAGAACCTAGAAGCAGGCAAGAAAGCAGAAAGGAAGAGGACGGGCGCCCAGGAAGCGCGATAGGCACTCAATAGAATCAAAAATAGGTAGGATGTAGAGAAGCCGGGTGGCGGCAGAATCACGCTCGGGATAGCAGCAAGATCAGGAAGCAAACCAAGGGCTGTGGAGGCTCGCAGGCGTACGCGCAGCAACGGCGAGGACATATTCAAGGCGGCGGGCGTGCGGCTGCAGGACGTATATGCGGCGCATCCCGAAAAAAATCGTCAAAGAACTGGACAGTGAACAGTGAAAAATAAACGTAAGATAAAAACACACAGAACAAAAAGAAAGGAGAACCATAGCCTAGTGAAGAACATAAAATGAAAAAAGAGAAACACGACGGTGATAAATCAAAACAGACCAAAACGACACATGATAACCCCCCCCGGATACGAATACGAAAATTAAAAAACGGGGTCCTGAAACACAGCAGAAATGAATGACCCCAACAGTAAAATATAAAGACATAAGATCAAAAGAAGCAGACAAAGAACGCTCATAACTGCCAAATAAAAATATAAACTCAAGAAAAGATGAACAAAGAAAAGACATTCCACAATAAAAACATGATATAGATCAATTGTGCGGACATGATACGAGAAGTAGGTCCGGTTCGCTACAGAATGAAAGAATAGGTAGAGCCGAAGACACAGACGGAGGGGTCGGCTCGCCCCAACGAAAATAAAGGAGTACGCGAGGCAACGCGCTAGGATGACAGGCGTGAGCCACCGCGCCCCCGCCGCCACTCCTTTTTTAGAACACACCTGCTCCGGTTGTGTGAGGCTTTTCGAGAATGTTCTCCTCGTGCTGTCTCTCAGTGATGATGATCTTCTATTTGCCTTCAGTCGCGTCCCTCTCAGACCCTAATCTTCCGTAGATTTAGTCAGATATTGTCGCTGGGATTTGTCCAGATGCGGGACAGTAGTACATGCCCACACTCTTCTTCGTCTTTCACATTTCGAAGAAATGGGTATCTGACTGTGGTTTATTATTTTGCATTTAACTTGAAGTCGGGCATCTTTTTCCGTTTTCTGCTGGGCATTGATTTGCATTCTTTTTCTGGTAAACTGCCTGCTCATCTTTGCCTGGCTTTTAAAAACTTGAGGTGTTAATTTTTTATTTACTTGGCACGAGGTATTTGAATATTAAGAATAGCCTTTTTTGGTGTAAACAGGCACATGAAAGAAGAAAAAAAAAAGAATAGTCTTTTTGCCCATCATGTATGTTGTAATATTTTTCTTAGCTTACCTTTTGTTGGTGACTTCTTGTCTTCTTGCACAGTTTAAACTTTTTTACAGTCTGTTTTTTCTTCTAAGGAGGCCTTTTAGTTTTTGTGCCAACTTAGAAAGCTATCCACACTCCCAAGATGTTACAAAATGTGCTCATCTCTATAGTACTTTTAAGGTTTTAATTTTAAAATTTAAATTTTAGTATCCTTGGAATTTATTTTGATTTAAGGAGTGAGGTGGGAGAACGCTAGGTTTGTTTTCCCAAATGGCTATCTGAATCTTCTAATTCCATTCTCAGAATACCCCTCTTTTTCAACTGATCTGAGATGCTAAATTGCTTTTTTTAAAAAAGGTTTATTCTGCCATTTCTTATTACCAAACTGTTTTGTTTCCCCTAGCATTTGTAATATGGTTTGTGCTTTTTACATGAATAGATTCCATTTCATTAGTACTGAAGAGTAAAACAAGGTCCCAGAACTATCCTAGGTTAATTTTTGTGAGCAAATTAAATGAGATAAAAGTGGTAACGAGTGGACAATTTCAAATCTCTTAACTTTTAGTAAAGGCACATTGTGCACTAATGCCAATGAAAATTCTTTTAATAGCATTCTATTTAAACCCAGTCCCCCAAATACAGTCCTTCCTTTTATAAATAAAAATAAATAAAAATACAGGCATTGGCTTCTATTGGAAGCAATCAGGAGGTGTTTGTTATTGTTATTTGCTTTGTTTTTGGAAAGAATATGTTTCAGAATTTGCAGTATATTTGTTCTTGAAACGAGTTATGTTGTCTAAAATTAAGTTATATTTTCTTACAGACCTTTTCATTTTTATAATTTCAAATTTAGTTTGTCTCCACTTAGTAAACAAAAATCTAAAAGCAGATATTTAACTGGCTACCTTAAGGGTATATTCCATTTAAAACAAAGTATAAATCAATGCTTTTCCAAATTAAAAATATCCATGTCAAGGCAATTGTCATTCCTAATTTACTTTCCATACTTGAATTTTCTTAAAGAGAAATTCATGTTAACTCAAAGGCAGTCTAGTTGTGTAGTTGAAATTTTTTCCAGATGTTTTAAGTGTATTATAATGAAATCAATAATGATAGAGGGTAATAATCAGAGTGATGATAGTTTCTGGTTGGATTTGCTCTACAGGATACATTAAGTTAGGAAAAAAAATGAAGATACATTCCATGGACCAAGGAACAGAGCATTTGGTGATTCTGTCTTCAGATGGAAAACTATTTGAGTACAACTATAGCATAGAACATGCAAGGTACGGAACTTTTTTCTTTTATTACAAATTATTTTAATTTTACTCAAAGGACAAGAATAATTTCATAGGAAAATGTTACCATATATACTTCTTGTCCCTTGCTTTATATATAGTAGCACCTTAAATGATAAATTCTGAACTGACCAGTGAGGTCCATTGGTATACTATTAGTACAAACCAATATGTCTCTTGGGGCAGGAATTGTGTTGTTTTGGCATTTAAAGGAAATGATTTAGTAGTCCCCCTAGTCCCAAATTGGACTATTCATTGACTAATTTGATCCTCACAATAATGCTATAAATTTAAGTTTCCAGAAATTAAATTTTTTTTTTTGAGAAAAAGTCAGCTGACTATTTATCGCTGGAGGGGAGAGAAATGAAATATTTATTTATTTATTTATTTATTTATTATTATTTTTAGACAGAGTCTCACTCTGTTGCCCAGGCTAGAGTGAGTGCCGTGGCATCAGCCTCGCTCACAGCAACCTCCAACTCCTGGGCTCAAGCAAATCTGCCCTGCCTCAGCTCCCGAGTAGGCTGGGACTACAGGCATGCGCCACCATGCCTGGCTAGTTTTTTCTATATATATTAGTTGGCCAATTAATTTCTTTTTATTTATAGTAGAAACAGGGTCTTGCTCTTGCTCAGGCTGGTTTAAACTCCTGACCTTGAGGCAATCCGCCCGCCTCGGCCTCCCAGAGTGCTAGGATGACAGGCGTGAGCCACCGCACCCGGCCTGAAAATTTTAAACCTAGAAAAAAATGCTTTATCATGGAATGATTTGTGGACTTTTTCCTAGCAAATCATATGAATTAAAACTTATTTTCATCTTGCATTTATTCCTGCAGCATAAATTTATTGTTTGCATAAGAGTATTTTAGAATCATCTTATTATACTTATATAATGCACATTATTTTCTCCTGAAACCACCAATTAAACATACATGGTTTTAAAATAATTTTAGATGTATATACTGAAAGTGAAGCAGTAAATTTAAAGTTTTTTCTCGAGCTTCATTCCTAATTAAAGACAGTTAATAGTTCGAACATTGATGTTGTGACTTCCATTATGGTAATTAGCATAAAATATATTTTCTTTCTTCAGGTTTCAAAGCATTTTACGAGAAAAAAATATAATTCAGATCACATGTGGAGATTATCATTCTCTTGCACTCTCAAAAGGTATTTTTTTAATATTGTTTTTATAAGTAATAAGTAATAAGTGTGTGTATATGTAGAGCCAGTAAAATGTATATGCCTCACTTTCCAACAGAATAGAAAAATGATTTTGAATTTGGTGTGGTTCAGAGTACTATTTTTCTTTCTTTCTTCTTTCCTTTTTTTGGAGACAGAGTCTCACTCTGTTGCCCAGGCTAGAGTTCCTTGGTGTCAGCCTAGCTCACAGCAACCTCAAACTCCTGGGCTCAAGCAATCCTCCTGCCTCAGCTTCCTGAGTAGCTGGGACTACAGGCATGTGCCACCATGCCTGGCTAATTTTTTCTATATATCTTTATAGAAGATATATAGACTTTCTTTCTATTTTTAGTAGAGATGGGGTCTCACTCTTGCTCAGGCTGGTTTTGAACTCCTTACCTTGAGCTATCCTCCTGCCTTGGCCTCCCAGAGTGCTATGCTAGGATTATAGGCGTGAGCCACCAAGCCTAGCCCAGAGTACTATCCTTTTTTTTTTTTTTGAGACAGAGTCTCACTTTGTTGCCCAGGCTAGAGTGAGTGCCGTGGCATCAGCCTAGCTCACAGCAACCTCAAACTCCTGGGTTCAAGCAATCCTCCTGCCTCAGCCTTCCGAGTAGCTGGGACTACAGGCATGCACCACCATGCCCCACTAATTTTTTTTCTATATGTATTAGTTGGTCAATTAATTTCTTTCTATTTTTAGTAGAGACGGGGTCTGGCTCTTGCTCAGGCTGGTTTCGAACTCCTGACCTCGAGCAATCCTCCTGCCTCAGCCTTCCAGAGTGCTAGGATTACAGGCGTGAGCCACCGAGCCTAGCCGAGAGTACTATTATTAAAGGAGATATAAGATGAGAGAGAATTCTTGGATCTATAAAATCTTCAGATTTCCATAATTACTATTCCTACCTTTTGTTCCATGTTTTTATTTTTCAAGTTTGAAGCAGTGAAAGCTTTCTAAATAATCAAAACCATTCTCTCTGTAGTCTGGTCTAGGCCTGGGCCACCCCTTTCTAGAACCTTCTTTCCTTTTCTTAGCACTCTTTCAGCTTAAATGGTAGGAGCTCAGGATTCCCCCACCTCTGTTTTTATAGCCAAGTTGCAGGCCTCTGCTGTGTTTTAACATTACTTTTTGAATTCAAGGATTCTCCCAGCCCTTCAGTATTTCCTATTTCCTATCAGATACTGTAATGGCGGAAAACGGAAGCAGTGAATATAGGTTATTTCCTAAAGTAATAATTAAGACACGAGGGTGATGGACGGAATTCAGGGTCAAAGGAATTTTTGTTAATATATAAGACATATGTAATCATGTACATAAATGGAATGGAATCTGGGATTTTGAGGGACGTTAACAAGTATTTGACCTGGGCTGGGCGAGGTGGCTCACGCCTATAATCCTAGCACTCTGAGAGGCAGAGGCGGGTGGATTGCTCAAGGTCAGGAGTTCGAAACCAGCCTGAGCAAGAGCGAGACCCCGTCTCTACTAGAAAAGAAAGAAATTATTGGCTAACTAATATATATAGAAAAACTAGCTGGGCATGGTGGCGCATGCCTGTAGTCCAGCTACTCGGGAGGCTGAGGCAGGAAGGATCGCTTGAGCCCAGGAGTTTGAGGTTGCTATGAGCGAGGCTGACGCCACGGCACTCACTCTAGCCTGGGCAACAAAGTGAGACTCTGTCTCAAAAAAAAAAACAAAAAAAAACAAGTATTTGACCCGTACTGAAGGGCCTTTTGAAGTTTGAGTACGAACTTGTATTGGAAAAAAGTAGTCATTTGACTTCAGCCATTCTTGAACAAATAGTTCATATTGAGTATCTACCCTGTTCAGGTTATTAACATGAAAAAGACACACCCTAGCCCAGGGTGTAGTGGTGTGTATGTGCAGAGGGCAGGGATGTTCAAGGTTTACTATTGGTAAATCACAAGACAGAAGGAATAAAGTTGGAAAAGCAAGAAAGGAAGTCAGTTGTGCTCATCATTATATTTCTGGTGGCTGGTAGGCACACAACGATGCTATTTGAAGCAGAGGCTCTGCCTCCCACCAAATCCTGAGCAATATCTCGCAAAGAGGTGCTCAGTAAACATTAGTTCTCTGATGTTTTTTTTTTCAGACTCCGTTAGATATTATCAGCTCCATTAGGTAACTTCTAAGGACTTTCCTTGAAAATTGTCCTTTATTTGTTTAATTAATGGAAGAAGAAACTGACTTTTTCAAGATACTGTAATTTCACATGAATTTTTAAGTTGTTTATTTGGAATCGTCAGGCATATGAAAAGGAGGGAGGTAGAGAAAAGAATAATTCTGTGTTTTATTTTCCCAGAGATAGAATGTCTCTATTTTTCATGGGCCCATCCTCTGGGTTTTTAAAAGTCAATATTTGTTAAAAGTTGATTATAATTAATTTACTTATTTATGTATTTATTTATTTTTGAGACAGAGTCTCACTCTGTTGCCCGGGGTAGAGTGCCATTGTATCAGCCTTGCTCACAGCAACCTCAAACTCCTGGGCTCAAGTGATCCTACTGCCTTAGCCTCCCGAGTAGCTGGGACTACAGGCATGCACCACGATGCCCGGCTAATTTTTTTTTCCTATATATTTTTAGTTGGTCAATTAATTTCTTTCTATTTATAGTAGAGACGGGGGTCTCGCTCTTGCTCAGGCTGGTCTCGAACTCCTGACCTTGAGCGATCCTCCTGCCTCGGCCTCCCAGATTATAATATATTTCAATAGCTTCATTCTATGCTTTGAGGTAGGAGATCGGGAAGTATAATTGTTACTCCTAAAGAGAAAATTCTGAGTTTTTCTGAGTCAGACATACCGGATTTGAGAGTCTTTGTCAGTATGAAGGTAAAGATTGTGATATACTAGATAGAGCATGCATAATGTCCTAGAGTAATGTCTGGTACATTTTAAACTTAATAAGACAGCCTTTTCTTTGTTTACATCAAGGCGGTGAGCTTTTTGCCTGGGGACAGAACCTGCATGGCCAGCTTGGACTTGGAAGCACATTCCCCTCAACCCCCACACCGCAGATGGTGGACCGCCTCGCTGGAGTCCCCTTGGTTCAGATTTCTGCAGGAGAAGCCCACAGCATGGCCTTATCCATGTCTGGAAACATTTACTCATGGGGAAACAATGAATTCGGACAACTAGGCCTGGGCCACACCGAGAGTATGGAATATATTCTCAGATTCATACTATCAACAAATGATATGTTAGATTAGGAGAGGAATATAACAGGGACTTCCCTGTCTGAAATGGTTCGCATCTCCGCTGGCATTTGCCCTGTTCTTCCTGATTTTCTCTCTGTCTCCAGGACAGAATCAGTCCAAGAGACTTGTGTGGAGTAGAAGTTGTTTTGCAATTGAGACCCAGTTCAGAGCTGCGTGGGAAATGAAAAAGAGCCCTGCACTGGGATCCAAATACCTGGGTCCCTGTTCCCTCTTTGCAGTGTACTCACTGTAGGCCTTGCCCTGTCACTTAACTTTTCTCTAGGCCTTATTTTCTCTTTCTGTAAAGCGACAAGTTTGGATGAGATGACCTCCGCCTTTGCATTGCAAGCCTATTAATATAATTATGTTATTACAAAAGGATACTAAAGTTCTATTTAGAAAATCACATGTCCCGATCTTATTCTATAAAGTACACATACACACACATACACACACACGAAACCACATAACTCCCATTATTGAAAAAAAGCACATGGCAAAATTGTTTATGATCCCAAACAAGTATTAGGGCTTTCAGGTGTGACAAATTCTGCGGCTTTACCCAGCATGGTGATTTCATGCATTACCCTGGATCACTGGTCAAATGCTACATTTCTCCCTGACATGATCCAATGCTAATTTTGCAGGATAACCCATAAGTCAGTGTTAGAAAAATATTTAAAAGAGAGCAAAGAGTAAAGGGACCATTAAACTATTTTTGCTGAATCTCTGAGTGCTTTGATGGGAAAATAATTGTGAGGGAAAGAAGAGGTAGTGTAAGGCAAGGATACTGTAGTAGAGAATTTAGAAGAAAAAATGTTTATGTTCATTAAAAGAAACATCTGATGTGCTCCGATTAAAGTTGATCAAATCAGGTAGAAACAAGAAGAGCAAGCTCTGGGAAGGGACTTCACTGGTGGGTGCCCCTAAGTGTGACCCTTTCAGCCACTGCTCTCCTCCCACCTTTAGACCTAGAATTTGGGCCTAAAGATGCTAACATAGAGCCTTTCTTGTCAGAACATGATAGGAACTGTTGTTGCTGGGTTGAGAGGAAGCAGTCTAGGTAACTCCGATGTGAATTTCAGTATTTCCTTTTTGGTCACTTCAGCTATTCTTTCCCCCACATAGATAAAGATTCTCCTTCCCTTATTGAAGCACTAGACAATCAGAAAGTTGAATTTCTCACTTGTGGTGGCTTTCATACTGCCTTGCTCACGAAGGTGGGTATACCGTGTGTGTTCTTGACTGTGTTTCTGGAAGAATATTTTATACAAAGAGTTAGTGTTTCCCCGGGAAGAAAGGTGGTCACTTCCCACACAGAGGATTGTCCTCCTTGTAATTTGGGAACTTTACGTTTGATAGTACTTTTTTAAATTATTCACTGATGTAAAAGCTTTTGCATTAGGGGATGTTACTTCTGTATTACATTTCTCTGGCATCTGATATGAAGTTCCCTTTCTCAGGATGGGCTGGTGTTTACTTTTGGTGCTGGACAATATGGGCAGCTTGGTCACGGTTCAACACAGAATGAGCTAAGACCCCGTTTGGTGACCGAGCTCACTGGGAAAAGAGTGACCCAGATAGCATGTGGAAGGTAAGTTGTGAATATCAATGAAAATTGATCAGATGAATACAGTAAGCTGGGTAGTAATTCAATAAAATTTCCATCAGTTTCTTGGGGGATATAAGTATCAATCATTTTCAAATGGATGAAAATGCTTACTTTCCATTATTAGATAATCATGATTCTTTTAATATACACATTTATTTTCTTTGATTTTTTTTTTTTTTTTTTTGAGACAGAGTTCACTTTGTTGCCCAGGCTAGATGGTGCCATGGCATTAGCCTACTCAAGCAACCTCCAACTCCTGGGCTCAAGCAATCCTCCTGCCTCAGCCTCCCAAGTAGCTGGACACAGGCATGCGCCACCATGCCCGGCTAATTTTTTCTATATATGTATTAGTTGCCTAATTATTTATTTTATAGTAGAGACGGGGTCTGCTCTTGCTCAGGCTGGTTTCGAACTCCTGACCTGAGCGCATCCGCATGCCTCTGGCCTCCAGAGTGCTAGAGTGACAGGGCGTGAGCCACTCGCCCAGCCAGCACTCGGTCTACAAGTATTGGAGTTTATTTGTTAGTGTACCAGGACCCTTCTATGAAAACCTGTTGTACATATTTTCAGTCTATAGACATTTTCTGTCGCTCTATGGAGTAAAATTGCATAATGTGTAATGATTATTAAGGGAGACCAGATTATTGGAATATGGTCCTCACAAAGAAATGTTTCCTTTAGTATTGTTTAAAATTTTCAGTTTAGTATTGATATATCCAATTTTCTCTTCATCAAAGAGTGGTGCTTTCATTATTAGGGGGACCACACTTAGCTACTTTCTGATTTGGGAAAGTCTTTCTTTTCTTTGGTTCTGGAACAGAACAACTGGGAAACGAACGGAACACAGAATCAGCGTGCTACACTTCCATGAATATCATCAAATGAAGGAACTCAAATTAGTAATTCTATAGGAGCAAGGACTCTCGAATAATATCTTTTTAAGAAAGTGAATTCTAGTGGTCTAAACGTGGGCAAGAAAGCAGTGTATGAATGTGACGGGAGTCTCGTCTGAAACATTGGTATTCATTCTTCTGCTGGAACAATCTCTAAAGATTCAGTCTGACTTTCAAGTCAAAAGTAATCATTAATTTTCTTATGACTCATCAGATTAGGTGAATGTGAATTTAAAGATAACAAATAAATATAGACCCAACATCGGAAATTCAGCGGCGTATGCAGCTCTGATTCCAGTTTTCAAGAGCTTAGTAATGCCATGGTGATTGGTTTCTGCACTGGTTACGTTGACCGCATATCAGTGTAAGACCCTCAGGAGTTGAGCACATGAACTTAGACCGAGGCGTTGTAACTATGCTTAGCCTCACACTGTGTCAGCTCACCCAATCCTTTATAGCAGTTCTGGTGTGTTATCGTCAGTCATTTACTGGAGGAACGAGAGATTGGACGAGCAAGGGTGGCCACTTACGCCAGTGACTTGGCTGGAGTTGAATGGATGCCTGTGCTACTCAGAACTGAGCCTCTTAGAATCATTCTATAGTAGAAGCACACAGAGCACTTTTTGTTACTCTGTTCTGAAAGCTCGGTGGTGACCTAAAGTAACAGATTATTTACTCATTCCTTGTGAGGAAATGATAGTAGAGTTAATTACCTGATATAATCTTTTTTATTTTTTTTGAGACAGAGTCTCGCTTTGTTGCCCAGGCTAGAGTGAGTGCCGTGCGTCAGCCTAAGCTCCGCAACCTCAAACTCCTGGGCT